ATTTGTTTGTTAATTAAAGGGGGAGAGAAAAAGGGTTAGGGTTTCAAGAAGTTCTTTTAATTTGTTTTTTTAGTCGCAGAATCACTGGCAAGAAATACTAGCGTTCTTAACAGTAAACTAAATGTAACTTAAGCATTGTTTTATTTTTACGGTCAGTCAAGAACTTGCTTGTAAGGTTTTCCAGGTCTAGATCAGTATGGAAAAAAACCCCCAAACATTTCTTTTAGCAAAAATATTTACATTTCCAGAATTCCTTGCCTATTATTTAAAAGAAAGAGAAAAAGATTTCTGAAAAACACATTTCACATCTAAACTCAAGTTTTATTCAGACTTGTTGAATGTTTTCCATGGGTTTCCAAGACTCTACATATAAAAAATCAAACAGGGTGTTCTTTTTTTCTTTTTCTTTTTTTTTTTTTACAGTTTTTGTTTGGCCTCTACTCTTCCCAGAATTGGCTTACTTTACACGGCCAACAAAAAATATCACAACATTTTTTTATTATGTTACGTAAAATACACAGTAATAATCTTTTATTGATCACATTTCTTAGTTAATAAATACAATGAGAAACATTCATTTGGCTGCATCCAAATAATTAACCTCAGCTAAACACAACAAATACTTCAGAAGAAAAAGTGACCCACATCCTGTTGTTGTTGAGACAGACTTCTGGAAATTCAATACTTTTCTTTAAATAAAGCAAATGTGGGAGTAATTTTTTTGTTATACAGCTACAAGAATTTACAGATGATTTGTTTTGTTGTTTTTTTTTTCCTTTGGAAAGTTTCTAGTAAAATAGTTTTTCATTTTTAAAGTTTTATGGCCCTTGATCACATTTACCTCGGTGATTTTGGCTTATTCTGTGTTTTTTTTTAAATCAGGCGAATGTGTTGCAGCTGGATGACTTACTGCATAACTACAGCACTCAGACATGTATTTCTACACCGAGAAAGAACTGCTAGTTATTAATGTCATTGTCCTAGCGTTTGGCTCCATCTAGTGTACATTTACCATTTACGCCGACATCAAACTTATCTTGTGTTGACGTATTTCAGGGAAAAAGTTAAGTGCCCTGCAGCATCTGTGTTCGATTTTAGGCTGAAATATGTTCAAGGTTTCACTTTTCATCTGGGTAAAAAAAAATCAAAAAACAAATATGATGACATGACATCCATTTTCTTAAACCACATTTCAGCACAGCTAATAATTTCCCGTATATTTCAGAGTTTTCTGAGATGTTGCATGTCCTACTGGAGGGAGGCGAGGGAAGGTTGAGCTGGTGGCGAGTGTTGACATGGGGGACTGTGTTAGGTTCTCTAAGTGGCAGCTTCAGATGACAGCCACAGATGGTGCTGCCAGATTACAGTGACCCCCTCCCTGGGAGCCATCATGCCACAGGAACTGGTGTAATATAACCCAAAGACAAGAAGCTCCTTCCCGAGGACAGAGAAATGTGGTTAAACCGCCTTGCACAACTGGGAATTGATGAAGAATTTAATCTGAGGCAGACTTGCAAACCATCTTTGTTTATAATCTGCGTATAAACCAGATGA